TCACGACCATTCACGAGCTGCACTGTCCAAGTTGGTGTGTGCGTGCGTGCGTGCGTGCGTGCGTGCGTGCGTGCGTGCGTGTGCGCTCGCTTCGATTGTGTGAGCGTGTGCGGGCAGACATTCAGCACGTGACACCTGCATCCAAGGTGCAACCTCCAAGTCAATGGGGACCAGGTTTAGTAGCAGAAAGGCTTCCTTCTCTGAACCTCAGCTCAAGGGTCTGCGGGCAGAAGGCGCTTACTACCAGACGGGACTGTCAGGAAACCAGGGACCTTCAGCACTGGAATCCTGAAGATAAGGTGATACGGACCCCTCAGCGAGGGACCCCTTGTTTAAAGTTTTGAACTTACGCATGACCAGGGTCGAGGCACTTCTGACTTCAGGTTTCGAAAGTCGCGAAAATCCTAGCAAGCGAGCGTACTACTGGAGACAGAAGACTGCATGGGAATACAAAAGAGAAGAGATGCAGCTTTGGTATTGAAGGGTCTGGAGACCAATACAATGATAGCACACTAATCCAGCGAGGCCTTACAACCGCTCGCTTGCCCCGGCTGCCGACATCGGAGTGCTTGAAACCGATCTCACCGGGAAGAACCGAGCTGCGCTGCATTTACAGCCTCCTTCAGTAATGGATTCCGGGGGTAGGATCCTAAAAGCGGGAAGGTTAGGGTAAACACTGGGGTTCCTACGAGGGTTAGGGTACTGTACACAGGTTCCGTTCAGTTCAGGGCCCTATGAGGGTCACATAGGGGCCTTAACAATTAGAATAGCGTTTTGGGGCCCATTATACGATAATTATAATAAGGACCCCCAAAATAGTATTGGTATTTATTTAGGCCCCTACATTGCTGCAATAGGAAGCTTATCCAATGTTTTTGTAACATGGACAGCGGTGTACCAAAGCCCGCCATGTAATTTACGGTAATGAAGAATTCAAACTCTAGCTTCCTGCAAAGGGCACCCTCACCAAAAGCTCTGAAGCCCTCGGATCCCGGAAGGCTAAACCCAAACCCTGAAAACCCCGAACCCCTTCATCCCGAAACACGAGATCTGGGGCCGTAAACCCTAAACCCCTAAACCCCAAACCCTTCTCCAGTGTTAGCCACAGGCGCCTTTCTTGTTTTACCATCGTTTTGGGCTCTATCATGGCAAGATTATATATAGGGACTAGCAGGTACTAATATTCCTAATTAGTGTCTTCTGCTATAAGGGTCTGAACCATTAGCAATCATAAATAGTATATAATACCATTGATTATCATGTTGTAAGATAGCTTACTCTGAGTACTAGGGCCCCTGTACCATAGACCGTCATAGAATCCTAAGAGAACCCTGATGGTAACCCTTCTAGAACCCGTCAAAGAATCCGTAAAGCCACCACCAGAGCCCTCCTGAACCTAAACCCTGAGCTCTAAACTCGAAAGCCTAGACCCTGAACCCCCAAAACCCTGAACCCTAAACCCTGAACCCGAACCCTGCACTCTAAACCCCAAACCCTGAACCCGAGAGCCCTGAACCCGAAAGCCCTAACCCTGAACCCTCTAAACCCCAAACCCGAGAGCCCTGAACCCGAAAGCCCGGTGTTCAGGGCCAGACTTGGCTGCCGGAAGGTCACCTCGAAGAGTCCCGAACCGTTCCTTCAGGAAAGCATCTTTTTGTTGCGGTTTGGGGCCTTTGATTTGGGGGTTTTAGGGTTTAGGGTTTAGGGTTAGGCATCCCTTTTGCGGTTTCGGGCCTTGGATTTGGGGTTTCAGGGTTTAGGGTTTAGGGTTAGGCATCCCTTTAGCGGTTTGGGGCCTTGGATGTGGGGTTTCAGGGTTTAGGGTTTAGGGTTAGGCATCCCTTTTGCGATTTGGGGCCTTGGATTTGGGGTTTCAGGGTTTAGGGTTTAGGGTTAGGCATCCCTTTAGCGGTTTGGGACCTTGGATTTGGGGTTTCAGGGTTTAGGGTTTAGGGTTCAGGGATCCCTTTTGCGGTTTGGGGCTTTTGATTTGGGGTGTCAGGGTGTAGGTTAATCTAGGGGCCTTCATAATTACCTATAACATTTTTTTGGGGGGGTTCCTTATTATAACTATAGCATAAAGGATCCCAAAACCCTATTCTATGGCCCTATATAAAAAATTGGGGCTTAGGGTTACAGTTTGGAGTTTAGTCTGGGAGGCTTTCGTCCTCCGGGCTCAGCAACTTCTGGTTAAATGAAGGTCCTCCTGTCCATCCAACATAATATAGGGGCCTTAATTATTAGGATAGGGTTCCTTTAAAGGGTTCGTATGAGGGTTTTAATATGGGGGCCTTAATAATTAGAATAGGGTTTTGGGGTCTTTTGCAATGTAATTGTAATTAGGAACCCCCAAAATAGTATAGGGAATTGTTTAGGCCCCTACATTAGATTGCTTTGCTGCGGCATGGCACTGCAGGTCAATAAGCCTCAAGTGCCTCAACCCCAAGCCTTGAACGCACGCCGAAACCTTAACCAGAATCCTTGAATAACCCCTTAGCAGAAAACTAAAACCCCAGACAGCCTCAAAAACCTACGGTGACTGTTTTTAAATATGCGGACAAGTAAATAAATAAAACAAATATTTTGTACTACCTCTGTGAGGGGTCGGGCGGGGCCGCCCGTCTTTTACATATACAGAAACGTTAGCGCTTGTTCCCGTCGACGCAGTCGTCCACACACA